TTGTATTCCTGTCAGATGTTTTTAAGCTCAGTTTTCTGCCCTGAAGGAATACAGCTGCTGCTGCAAGTGAATAGCTGCCATTAAAAGGTGAAGTGAGTAGTTGCACCCTGCTTTTTCTCTCCAGCTCTGCAGAAACTGAGCTGCATCTCTTCAGTCCCATGAAATACTTTCTGAGCTCCTTGCCACTCCCAAGCAGGTCATTGCACACAGTGTGAGAAACGTGTTTCTAGATTAGGGACTTGCTTGTGTTAACTTCTCCTGTAACACCTTTTAAAAGGACTACAGTAATGTAAAACTAATCTTCAGACAAAAACCAGCACCTCCCCAACCTGGCCCTGGCTGTACCACCTTGTCCTCAGCTTACTGTGTGATACTTTTAGCAAGCAGAAACTGGAATTTTGCTTTCTCTGTTTGCAGAAGAGTGTAAGAGGCATAGCATCAAATTTTGGCAGAAGTATTGCATGACCTATCTTTTTGAAATAAGATATCATTCAAAATTCATATGTTTTGAAATAGCTTTTCTGTCTCATGTTTAGAGTACTTAAATAAGCGCTAAATAGCCAGAAAGGCCTTACAGTTTTTCTTGGCTTTTCTGGCAAGGATGATTGTGTCTGCTTTTCTCACTGCCAGCGAGAGTCAAGTCAGCTTGATCAATAAGTAGCTGAAAACTGTAGAGGTTTTATGAATCAGGTGCATGCTGCTTACTGTGCTTTTCTGATTTACAGTGGGGGAAAAATGGGCTTAGTAACTGATGGGCTAATAGGTGCTGGTTTATATGCATTAGACATTATATTAAGTATTCCTAAACATAGATTTATAGACATACTGTCAACACTAATCTAATTTTTAATTATATTTATTTTATTTTTGGGTTTGTATTAATATAGTTATGTTTTATTGTATGTCCTGAATGGTTACTTTGAAAGTAGTGTTCATACAGTGTAGGATGGTCTGTGATCAATTTTATAATAAATAAGTGTTGTATAATAAAACACTTCTTTAATAATTACTGATCACTGTATTTTCTTTGGTATGGTCTTGATGATTTTTTTAAAATTCCAAATTATTTCTGTTAAGTTACACTGCACTGAGATATTTCCATCAACTATTAAGGAAGTAGCTTTGAGAATAGAGTGGGGCAGAGAGCCTAAAATGTGTAAAAGATCTATTTACTCATTATAGTCAGGAGGGCTAGGTATCTTGCCAAAGGTCATAGGAAGCATTTGTGACCAAGGGAGTATAACACTCTTTGCTTTGTGTCCGATTCTTGTACCTGAATTACAGTGACATTTCATGAGTGTTTTCTGATAGTTTCCGTGTACTCCAGATATTTGTTATGGAAATCAAGTCCTTAAGTACCACTTCTAGATTTTGGGCCTCTGTAGTAAGATAGCAGTCCAAAAAGTGGTTCCTTATTGAATATTGGTGTTTATATTTAAATACGACATTTTCTTTACAAATGTTCTATTGTTCAGTAGTACTGCTTTTTTCCCTTTGTGAATATTTTCATCACTTTTGCTGTAAAGTAGTCTTTTTGTTTAAAGCCTAGTTTAACATCCTTGACTAATTAAAATTTGGTTTACTATTTACAATTAAACCCTATTTGAGTGTATTAGTTCCTCATCTTTTGATTTAGCTCAGTATGGTTGATGCAGACATGTTTTTTTGTTAAATAAGAGATTTGACTACCATGAATAGGAAAAATGTAGGATAGGCTCCTTGCTTGAAATTAGTGAGATGATAAATAGGGGCATAAAACTTCCTAGAAATTCATCTATCCAGGCAGATTTTTCTTTTTTTCATGCTGTATTTGGAAAAAAAAAAAAGTGGACATGTGCAGAAACTGTGAGTACAATTAGCGTCAAGCAGATAAATCCAGCTCTAATCCTGTTTACGCTCTACATCAGACAGATGTGCTGAGATTGATTTAGACAAGCCCTTGGCTTATAGTTACTTTTTTTTAAGTGCCATATATTCTGGTTTTGTTAGATCTTTTCTAAACGTTAAGTGCTGTTAGTTTTGCTCTTCCCTTAACGCCTGTAACCTACTTTATACAGGTCCCCTCTCTGCTTTCATGATGACAGGGCAGCCTGGTAGAAGAGATTATCTTTATTCCTTGTAATTAAATTGACTTTTTTTTTTCAGAAGGTACAACAATGGGAAGTGGGTACTGAATAAAATAAATAGCATGATATCTAATAGATGTGTACTTAAATCTCTTGCAAGAACAGATGGTACCCAATATCTTTCTAAGTAATGTGAGAGGACAGTTAATGTCCTGAAACTGCTTGCAATAACCCATATGATACTAACAAGCTAATACGACTTTCAAAGTTTAAAAAAGTGTTTAATCCAATATATACTTTATTATGAAAGTAAGGTTGATTGTTATGTCATTCTAGAAATATTTTATAAATACAGCTCATGACTTAAATTTTCTTTATCTGAGTTGTTTCATAAAATTGTACTGCATTTGTGATGGTCTTACTTTCAGTAAGTGGAGAAAATGAGAATTCTTGCTTATGTTTGGGATTTTATGCAGATTTCTTTGCAACTTTAGTAAAAGTGGGTTGTCTTAATCCTACTAGCTAGTTCAACATACTCTCTAGAAATTAAAACTCGAGGATGATGGTTTTTTCCAATTCAGCATTCCTAGAGTTTATATCCTTTAACAGAATGCATCTAGAAATGTGTTCCTGTAAAACAAATAAAGTCAGATAGTGGTTTTCAAAGTTTAGTACTGCCTAGTAAGAATGTTTTATTTTAAATATCAAAAGTTTTGATATGCATCTGAGCAACATAAGAATCTGATAAATATAGAGTAAGAGGAAGATGCACAAGCAAGTAAATAACTGGCTGAAATAGTAATGAAAAGAAAATTCAGACCTTACCTGGCTTAAGACTAAGTGTCATTTTATGAAAGCTAGTGGGGAATTAAAAGTGTTTTATCATACTTTCATTTTCCTTGACTTGTGCAGGATAAATAGGCTAATGTTAATAACTTTTATGTGGTGCACATCCATAACATTGGCATAATAGAGTTCATGATACCCACTGCAAAACTAAGAGTTAAATCCAAAATATGATTTATTTTAAAGTATGATTTGTTTAAAAGTATTTAAAAAGCAAGCCCACTTAGAATATTTATATTGGTCTGGGGAGATGAATATTGCAGGCCAGTTATTGCTGTAGAATGGTTGTGGTTATATTTCATGTGTCTCTGTTCACTCCTTTTCCAAAAACATTGAGGTTGTGTGCTGGCATTTTCAGTGTACTGTATGTCTGACAGTGAAGCTGTGTGAAAAAAACACAAGCAGACCCCTCAAAAATTCTGTTTTAAAAATGAAAACAAGTCTTTAGGTATTAAACTATGTAGTTCTAGGTAATTTAGGACATCACCACTCAGTTTTTAATTTCAGATCTACAAAGACTATTTACCCTTAATTGTTTTAGAAGAGCAGTACAAAGTTTGACAAAAATATTTTCTGTGTACTTCTGAAAAAATGCACTACAGACAATTTCCTGTGTACTATCTCAGTACACACCAACATTTACTTGTCACAGTATTCCTGTGAAGAGTAGAATAATTTCAGTCCAATTTTACAGCTTAGTAGCTGATTTATGGAGATACTAAGATGATAAAATACAACAAGTTGGGAAAAATATGTAGGAAGTATAACAAGGTCATGCTTCTATTTGTTGCAGATTATTTGGTATAGAACAGGAAAAAGTATAAAACAGGAGAAGTCATCCAGTGTTCCTGGACAGAGAGAGGATCACTGTGTAGTCTCCCAGAAATGATGTTGAGAAATACCAGTATCTAATTGTTACAAGAATTGACAAAGTCATCTTTTTCCTGTCCTGTCCTGAGTTTCTGAAACCCTCAGCTTCATGTGGTGTAATGAAGTAGGGGGTGCTGTCCATCTTTCCCTGGATGACAATTAAAATAGGTTTTCCCAACACTCCAGTACAGCATGTATCAACCAACATTCATCAAACAGAAACTGCTACAGTTTTCACTACTGAGAAACCAGTTGACTGAGTTGTTGCTAGTTTTGGGGAAGTTTTCTGGTTTCTAACATTTCTTGCCTTGGGCTGCAAAGGAGCCTTTATTGGTGCGCTGTATCAGATCTGCTGCAATTACATAGAAAGCAGGGAAATTTCTTTCTCTGTCCAAAGAATCTGATACCTACAAGGAGTGGTGACATTTTTCCTTCATTTTGAGTATTTGACTGTTTTTGAGGAATTGGAATGCAGCTCAAGAGAGCAGGAAAGGGAGAAGCCTGTACCGTAGTGCCTCAGTTGATACATCTCCAAGTGGTAGCATCTGCAGCCGCAGCATCCATGTAAATAACAGCCCCAAGATAACAAAACCTTCCCTTAGCCTAACACAAATCTCCCCTGGGATGAGGACTGTCACAAGAACTTTTTTGAAATTATTTTTTTTTTTCCTTCTAAACTGAATTCATAAATCAAAAATGAAAGCAAAGATGGGTAACACAGTTTTGATTTATTTGTCTATTTTTGCTTAACTGTTTTCCGATAAGTTTCAGATGTAAACAAAAAAGGCAATGGTTGTATCAAATGAAAAAATATAGTGAGCATATAATCACCTTGGGTCATAGCACACTTTCTGATCTATGATTTACAAGTATGACTGCTATGATTTAGGTGAATAGAGTAATGAATTTGCTTTTTGAATGTGAATTCAAAAAGTGTTTCTTAGAGTATGAAATTTTATTAATTTTTTTGAACACCAGAAAGCTGAGTAAATAAGATCTTTGAAATTGTTCTGTTGTACAGCTGGATACGTAACAAACTTGGTGAAATAAAAGACCAGTGATTGAAGGAAATGATATGCCGTAAGTTTCAATGCAAGCATGAGGAGATGCAAGAAGTGAACCTAGAGATGAAGCCCTAACAATACCTTTTGCTGCTACTCCCAATCACATTATGTAATGTAATGCTTTTCATTTTATTTTTTTTTTTTCCCCTTACAGGTGATTCCAGTGTGGCTTTACAAGTTCAAGAGGAGATTATTGAAATGAAAGATGTATTTTCAGTAAAACTGAAACGTCGTCGTTTTGCAGGGCAGAAAAAAGGTGGTACTTTGTTGGGTATCACAATTTTTAAATGCTTGAATAAAGAAGAGAATAAGCTTACAGACTGTGCTATCCATTTAAATAACTTGAGTGAAGATCATTGTCAGTTATGGTTTAGACATCTGAAGGAAATTTTGAATGGTAAGCATCTAATTGAGGTTGATGTAATATTTATTTCTAATGGCAATACGTGAAGCTGAGTGAAGCTTAGAAACATCTTGTCTGTGAAAATTAAGACACAGATATGAATCTTATTTCTGGCAAATGTTTACTAATGAAGTTTTTACATGGTCAAGTGTAAAATCTAGGAAAGTGACAATAACTGACTAATGTATCTGTAAAAATGAAACAAATTGATGTTATTTTTGAAGAGTTTTGGAAGCTACTGAAAATAAGTGGTTTTCTTTATTCTGACTGAAGAGTCTTCTGGGAAATCTATTTCTGAAAGAAATAACATATTTTGTTGATATTTTCACTTGAAATTGCATCACACCTGATGGTACTAAGTAGCTGCACTTCTAGGAGCTCTTCAGGAAATTTCTGGCAATGGTTTGGGAAATCCAACTTGTGGCCTTCATAATCTTTAGGAGACTAATGGGAGAGACATTTCTCATCTTCATAAATTCACAGGTGGCAGTGCTCTTAAGATTTCTGTAGGATTATTGTTGCATAATTTGATACAACATTTATTGACAATCGTGATGGGATGCAATTCTTTAGTTTAAAAATATCTTTCTGTGTTTGCCTAGGCTAATGCCAGTTTTAGGATGCTTTGTTTAAGCAGTTGTAGGGTTGGTTGGGTGATTGGTTGTTTGGGATTTTTTTTATTTTATGGAAGCTCTATCAAAATTACGAAAAAAATATTCACCATATAGGGAAAAGAGCCCCACAAGAAATCTAAGGTTTTCACAGTAGTTTGTATTTGAAAGGCACAGAACGTAGCCCAATTTTGATTTAAATAACCAAAACAACATCCCTTCCCCAATCCCAGACTCTGATTTAACTCCAAAGGCTGCCTCTGTTTACAGTTTATAGCAAATTAGTTCTTCTGTTTATTACAGAAGGAAAGCAGTCTATCTTTTGACACACTATTAGAACTCCAGCTGAATTGTTAAGACTGAGCCAGATTATGGAATTCAAATCTTGTACATCTGTAGTGTTTATAACCACAGTTCGAATAATAATTTATAGTGCACTTCTACTAAAGTTTCACAAGAAGATATTAAAGAAACAACATGAGTTATTAATGGTGTGTTCTTGCATTGTTTGTTTACAATATGCTTTGGACTTTCCCAGTGAAGATGTGCATTAAAAAGTGCTTTCCCTTTTCCCCTTTTGAAAGATTTTATCATGAGATATCTCAATCTGCAGAAGTGCCAGGATTCCTGTAGATCTCCAGCTACCCATAAAGGCGAGGACATTTGCATAAGGAGCAAATGTCTATTTTGTTCCTAGATTACTCTCCATCTATCAGGAGCAGTCATACCATATGTTCACAGAAAAAAAAAGCTGCAGTTTCTCTAGCTCAGGTTGCCTTGACCTCGAGGTGCAGTCTCTGTTTTATAGCTTTGTAATTGGAAGCCACCTGAACCTGAAAAAAAGTGTTCTGTGCCATACTCTTTCACGTTCTTTCTTCAGTCTTTCTCTAGAAGCTCAGACCTTGTACAGATTTTTTTTTTTGGATCTCTGATCAGTACATTTTTGATTCTTGCTTTCTACTTCAGGAATAAGCAGGACTCGGAGAGATAAAAATAACCAAATAAAAACCTCATCATACCAGTTGCTAATGTGTATATTCTAAGTCTGAACTAAAATTATACAATGCAGTTGAGTTCTCTTGATTTCTTGGTGGCTGATATTTCTGTGTGAAAGAGTATTTTCGTAGTTTTTGCTGCGGCCTTTTTATTTTTTTTGTAAAAGTGCTGGAGTCGTTGTTAATGAGCTCATATTGGCTACTTCTGGTTTTATCCTTCTGAAACAGTAAAAATTACTTCCCCACACTCCCTCCTCTCCCAGTCTGTCTGATCACAAAGTAATTTTTCATTAACTGCTGCATTATTGACTTGAAGGTTTTTTTATTGTTTCTGGGCTGGATCAAATTAAAAGAAGGTGATTTATCAAAGTAGAACATAAATATCTGTAACTATATATATTAGGTCAATAATATTTAGACATTCTGACAAATGGGAGTATATGTTACTGACAGGTGTGTTTCCTCTGCAGATAAATGCTTGTTTACCTTATTCTTTGACAAGTTTTCAGGTTTTTATGCATATATTAATTAAGGAACAACAATAGCGAGTCTATTGGTGATAATATGAGCCAAAGTTTATCTGGAGGTTTCTAATGAAGATTTTATTTTTTTCTGAAGTTTCATGAACAGTTTCCTTTTTAAAGTGTGATCAGTGTCTGGCATGAATTTTTCATACATGGGTTTTTCCCTGTTCATTTTTATTATCTGCACAGTAAGTGTCCTTTGTTGCTTTGACTTTGTGTTCAGAGTACTTCAATTTAAAGTTTCACCGGGCTGTAATCTTTTATGAAGCCTGTTATCATGTAAGTGAGCGCACACATATACAAGTGTTTTGAATTTAGTTACTGTGACTGCTATTATGGTTCTTTCTGAGTGTGTGTGACAGGATAGCAAAATACATGTACCACCATCTTCCCATATTTAAGTAAGTTCTTATTTTCTGCCTGCTGTTGCTGCTGTTCCAGTGCATGCCAGCTGGATATGAAGAGCTTGCTCACTGATAGAACGTTCCTGAAATCTGATCTGTCCATCACATGTTTGTTAAACTGCTCTAAGATAACCACTGCCATCTTCAAACACCTCTGGAGCCTTGGCTCTGGACTGGCTCCTGGAAGGCCCCAAAGGGCAGCTTAGACGGGGCGCAGTGTGCTGTTATCTCGTGTCAGCCCTGGTGCACACCCCACTCTCAGTGATTCCCATTCATACATCACAACTTTTTGTACAGGATTTACGGGCATGGTACGTGGGAACACACCATGTCAGTAGAATTCACTGTTTCATCTAAAATCCTCTGCACATGCAAATACACAGTCGTTCCTAAAGGGTTGAGGCAGGCTCAAAAATGAGAGAAAATGTACAGTTGTCAATGCCTATCCACTTTTTCTAACAAGATAAGACTTACTAACAGTTGATTTGAAAAAGCTTTACTTAGAAACTCTGTAAACTAACAAAAGACAGTAAATGTGGTTAAGAATAAATGATAAAGTAGCAAAAAAGTACAAAGTGCATTTTATTTTTATCTACTGTTTCATAGTATCTATCACACAAGGATTTGATATAAAAGCCTGAAACTTCATGCATGAAGTTTTAATTAAACCATTAATGTTAAACATTAACTGAGGTTAGTTAATATTAACAGTGGTGTCTCCATAGTTACATTAACAACTCTGTCTCATATTGTTGGTTTTTCTCATGTATAATATTTCTAATGCTGTAGAAAGTATTTATAAATGTAGGTGGTAATGACATGATTCCAGGCTCTTAACTTTTGTAACATAAACCCGTTTTCCTACGGCCGGGGCCTGAAAGCAGCACAGATGTATGTCTGAGCACAGCGTCTCTGCTGCCCTAGGAGCCTTTGTTTTCTGAACACCCTGATTGACCCACCACCCTTCATGGTTCACTGATTCACTTGATAGATCAAGTTTAAACTAGTGCATATTAGCACATTTGTTAGTACTAGGGGAACAGTTGGCCTTCCTGCTTTAGGCTGCTGGCTCGTTTCAAATGGAGCGGCCACGGAAAACAATAACAGAATACCAGTTAGGAGAGCCCCAAAAGGCTGGCAGGCTGGGATCAGTTGCACACAGTAGTCAATGACATTGATTCATTCATATAGATGTTGTTTAAAGACAATTAAAAGATTATTATTTAAAAACGCTGTAAAGAAGCTTCACAGTTATATTGCGTGAACGTTTAATCTTTGGCAGTTACAGGATATGCTTTCATTAAACTCAGTTATTTGGTGTGTTTTAACGTGTCCAGTGCACACCAGGAAGGATAAAGCAATACATTTTCTCATGATCATCCTTTCACGTCAGTTAGCAATTATTTGGCACAAACAAAATCAGTAGTGTACCATCTCTGCTCAAATGCCTTGTCTGTGAAAAATATTTCCGTCAATGTAATATTTTAGCTCTCTAAAAAAGTAAATTGATACTCAAATAGTCATAAAGAGAATATTTTAATACTTTGATCCTATGAATTTATTTGGTTCTTGAAAATCTTGCTAGCATTTATGTATTAACTCTGATATACTTTTCAGCAATAGCCCAATATACATAATCATAAATACAGTTTCTGGTTTAGAATGTTTTAATGAATTAATTTTTCTTTAAAAATTAATTTCAACAATTTCCTCAAAAATCTAGGATTTTTTTCCACCACCAACTGGAAAGTCTATTTTCTTTTGCCTCCGTATGATTTGTTTTGAAACTTTATATTGCTACCTAGGGTTAAATTTTTATATCTCATATGCAAAAACACTGAGGTGAGGTAGTGATGTTTGCTTTTATCCCTTCAGTTTTCTCCCGATGTCTGTTTCACAGAACCGTAACTTGCTCTGTCTGGGTAACAGAATATTTGACACTTCATCTGCTTTCTCTACTTCTACAAAATGTACTTTCCTATAAGTCTTCCATTTAATTTTTACCGATGCTTTAGGCAAATGATAAAGTCACAGAAATTATTTTTTTGGTCTTAATATTTTTATAACTTCTAAGAGACTGCAACAATACCAGTTAATAGATTTCAATTAAGATGTTATTATAATGTCTTTATGATGATGATGATTTATATGTATTAATAGTCTTTGGGAGAAATAAATGCTTTTTGTTTAGTCTTCCTTGTTTGTGTTATAGTTCCTGTAATAAGAAATTCCACTGCAGTACATACCTGCAGTGCTTCTTTTTGTTTCCAGAGAATCAAGAAGAATTTAGGTTGGAATGGACTTCTGGAGATTATCCATTCTAGCTTCCTGCTCAGGGCAGGTGAGCTTCTAATAAAAGATCAGGTTGCTAAGAGCCACGTCCAGATAAGTTTTGAAAATCTCTGTGGATAGTCAGTGTCACCCATGGCTTAACTGCCCTCCTTGTGAAGGGGGTTTTCTTTATTTCCTACTGGAATATTCCTTGTGCCACTTGTGTCCATTGCTAATTTGCTGCTCAATGACTTGGCACTCTGTGTAACATTTTGACATAAATATGGTTATGCATTTTTTTGTGTATGATTTTGAGGTTATAGCAGCAAACTGTTCCAGTAATTTCCTTCAGGAGCTTTAAGAAATCTTCTAAATTTTCTGACACAAACTGGATAAAGAGCTAGTTTTCTTTTCAAGATTGTTTGATGTGTTTAAATGAAAAAATAATCTCTGTGACTTTTATAATTATGTTTTGATCTTAAGGAATACTTTCCTCTTTAATGCAGAAATAGTATTTAGCTATAATTTCTTTGAGTAATTGTTCCTATTCAGTTGTTGAGGTAAACTGAGTGGAATGAGCTGCAGGAAGTCCCTGCTGACAATCTGAAGGTACATGTGGCTGTAAAAATGAAAGTAATATTCTTCATGGGGAAGGAAAATAGGCTTTCATTCTTGGCTCCTTTTGGAGTTGTGGGCCACTACTAATATTTTTCTTGTGTGTTGAAAACAGTACACTTGCCAGATATTCTGGCTTTTATTTGGCTAAGAAAGTAATAGTCTACCCTGTTACTAAAACAAAAATTAGAATTGTTCAAATCAAGTAGTTAAATAAATACCAGAAGAAGAGCAGGTATTGCACACTACTGCTTGCTGCTTGTAGCAAAGCAGCCTCACTGAACCATGGCAGTTGTAGGAATTCTAGGAAGGGGAATTTGAAAAGTAATGTTATTGGTGTTTGGTATGAGTTATTTACTCTTCAGCAAAATGCTGGGTTTCAAATAATAAAATTATTTCATGGAGTCAATGTTCAAGACTGTGCATAGCAGTATTTCTCAGTGTTATTTCCTTGGAGTTTGTTACTCCAAAGACCTTAATGAACAATAATTCTCAGATTTCCAAATGACACTGCCAATTTTGTATTTCTTTATATTTTTGGACTTCTTCCACAATGAGGAAATTTCCTTTGGACTGTTTGATTTGCACTCTAAGAAAAGAAAAGTGTTGGATTATGGCGTCAGTTTTTTTGGGTGTTACTTTTGTATACTGCTGAGAGTGAGTCATAGTAAATTCCAGCAAAGATACGTTTTTATGTTTGGGTTTATTTTCTTTTTTGGTGCTCAAACTTCCCACTCACCCTGCTCCTGAATCAGGCTTTAGCTAGGCTGTGACACATGCACTTTTTTTTCTGGTTCCTACAACTGTTTATTACCTGTACACACAAAATTAATCAATACTGTAATTTAAAGATAAGTAGTGCACATGCAAGAAGAAATTGAGACTTTTTTTAGACTGTAGTTTACTTACCCTGTCAAAGTATTGTAATGATTCCAATATTAGAAAACCATTTAAGCTGTAAAAGTAGTCGGGTTGCATGTAATCTTAAATATTTTGTTTTCCTTTTAGGCTTTCAAAACAGACCTAAATCCTTGAAAGTGTTTGTTAATCCAAGCAGCCACAAAAGAGAAGCCACTCAGATTTATTATGAAAAGGTTGCACCTCTTTTTAAACTTGCTGACATAAAAACTGATGTCACAGGTAAGTTGCTTCAGAAGTAAAGCTTAATCCTTTGTGAAAATAGCAGTTAAGCATGTGAGACAATTTGAATTTACTGCTTATCCTTATTGCCTTTGACTGCATGTACTGCATTTGGAACTCTAGTTAATACAACACAATATATATTTATTTTGTCAAAAAGTGATTTGGTAATTCTGTTATTGATTCAGTATTTTTCACCTATAGCAATCAATACTAGTAAACCTAGTCTTCTTCCTATGTCTCTTGTAATTGACTTGAAAAGTTATCAGTCTCAGCTTAAACAAATTATAAGAGGTCTCATCTTGCAGTTGTTCCTTAAGTTTCTTATGAAATGATGACTAGTTCAGGTTGCAGGCCAAAAATTACTCTGATAAAATCTGATTTAGCCATGAGAATATACCAATGCAATAATGGTAGATGAAAATTATCTTGCTAATTTTATTCCCTGTATCCATGTCTTTTTTTTAATTATTTAGCCCACAATTTAAAGTAAAATCAGTTGAAGATTAAAGACCCATTACAATAAATGTGAAAAAGACTGTCTGTATTAGAATTCTGTAGCAATAATTTCTCAACTACCCTGAATTGAGAGGGAATGCCAGCAGCTTGATATAAATTTTAATTCTCACAGACATATTTTTCCACCTGGAAGGCATGGATCATAATGTGAACAGACTAATAATGCTGTCATATTAAAAATTGAACTTAGCCTTGTTTGGTCACAATTTAAAAAAATAGTTTTAGTACAAGTTGTGACTATAATGTGTAGAGGTTTCAAAAACATTTTTACTAGTGGAATAGAAGCAGTTTTAAGTTTATTTTTAAATTATTTTTCTTTGAAATTTTAGTAGGAAACTTCCGAGTTGAGCCAGAAAAATATTTAATGGCCTATCCTTTAATTAAAGTTATCTTGGCAATGTTGAAATACTGCTGTGCTTATTAGCTGCCTAACACTCCTCCTACAGGCAAAATGAGAAAACTACATTGCAGTTTTCAATGCTAGTAGAGAACTAAATAACTAAGAATGTTTAAAAAAAAAAGCAGAGGGTGGTGGTGGGTGCTGACTAAAAGTCCTGTTCACTGGTACCCTATTCCAATAAAACTAAGTGCTTTCTTTCAAGTAAATTGAACTGGGCTTTTTCCTCCCATAATTGTTTTGAATTTTGTGAAACTGGAGTGTGCATCTTGCTGTCCCTGCTGTTTTGGAACATGGCCAATATTCACATAACTGGTGGCATACAAAGGTGTATTAGGTACTGAAATTGTGAAGGCTTTTGTACAATTTTTTCCCTGAAGACAGTTTACATTTCGACTCTTCCACATGCACATATTTAAAATTCATTGAATGTGAAGTTAAAATTGGTTGAGTACAAAAATTTTATACCAGTTTTGAACTTCTGAAGTGGCTTCTAGTGCATATAAAATAAAAGAAGAATTCAAGGTTATTAAAAGTACTTCAGAACATCAAAGACTGACAGTGGAGTGCTGAAAGACAGCTCTCCTCAGCCAGTCTTGTACACTGCTAGCTGTTGCTTCCTCTCTGATCAGGCTTTCCAGATCTTATTCTTCATTGTAGCTTCTCTTGGAATAAAATTCTTATGTGTTAAGAAGTTTGCGGTGGAAATATTCTCACCTACCCAAGGACATATAGCAATCTAAAAGACATGAATGTAAATAAGTGAGTGCTGAAGTAACATCTACTTTTTCAAATTATTTTAAAAAATTTTCAAGTTTTCTTTTTTTTTTTTTTCCCAAATGGCTTTTTGTGCTACACTTTAATAATTTCAGTAAAAATAACCAAAGGTATTACAGAGTGGATTGTGTTTTGCTGGGTTTTTGGGTTATTTTTGTTGTGCTCAGTAAGCAAATCTCTGAAGTACCTAGAGCACTAGGAAGTGTGAATTAGCAAATTTAGACTGAAGCAGTACTTCTAGCTGTAGCTCAGGTGAAACAAAATTTAAACTCTGGCCTATTTAAAGAATTGGGAGATTATTTTGTGCTGCAGCTGGGATGTGGCTGCTAGGATAAGAACAGTGACTCTTCCAAAAATTGAGTTCAAAAAAGCCCAATCCCACTGTTGAGATAGTTGCAAGTACTGGCAGATTGTGATAATTGGAGCTAGTATTTTAGAAATACATAAAGTCTTACAAAATCTTACACATATTTAAAGAAAAATAAATAAAGGAAACACAGACAGAATCCAATCTTGTCTCACTTCTCTTCCTCGTTTTGACTCTTACTTCCATTTATGCACACTTACAACCTGGACAGTTAGACAAAAATAACTTCTGTTCCCAATCTCCTATTTTTAGGGCAGAACCACAAAAGAAAGGAATATTTGAGAGTTGGACAAATAGCATTGGTTTAAACTTACCACATGATAAATACCAACAGATAATTGGTGTTGATGCTGGATGAAAAAAAGCCGTTTTCAGTAACAGTCCCACTGATTTTAGTCTGTGCCATGGGTGCCAGTATATTTAGGTGTCTCATGAAAGCATCCCCTATTCTGAAGTGTTGACCTAACTGTATATTGCTTTTTCTGTGTGTAGAGGCCAAGCCCTTGGTTCTTGTTTGCTGTGTGAAGAGAATGTTAAAGTGTTTTTGGAGTATGTGTGACTCTGGTCAAATGAGGTGCACTCTTGGTGTCCTTCTTTCAGAATGCTGTTATCTGACACTTAGGAACAAAACATTCTATTATGCATTATTATTATGCATTAGAAATGGTAAAAAAATAATGAAATAATATTTTTGTGATAATAATTTTGACAAATACGAGATCTGGATCCTTCTCAAACAATGAAAGAAGCTTTCTGCCTATTAGCAAAATACACTGAGTAGGTTTTTTTCCTGTTTGTTTGTTTTTCCCCCTGAACTGGAACAGTGCCAAATATTCAAACACTTAGCTTTTTTTCCAGATATCAGAATGATTTATACATGCCCCTCTGGAGATTGTCAAGCCTGCAGAAAACTTTTTAGACATTGTCTTTTTACGTCTGTGTTGGATTTTTCTAGGGGTTTTTTTCTACTTGAATGTTTCTCTATATGTTCTCACAAAGTTTTTCCTGAAGACCTAATTTTTTCAGTGCCTTTTTGTTATTATGTGTCAAAATAGATCCTCTGTCATTCTCTCATCAAATTTTAAATTTCTAGGAATTCCCCAATCTCAAGCCTTGAACAGTTCTTCTACATAATTTCCAAACTTAAGCTATTAGATGTAAAGAGGATGGATTTGCTCTCAATCTAACTAACATCAGTCATTTTTACTGGGTTTGTTGATTTCTCTCTAGACATGAGCCCTCTTTATTTCCATGTCCTTGTTCTTTGAGTGAATTAATTCTGTAACAGTAAGCATAACTTACATTACATTAGGAAAGCACTGAGCATGTTCTCTGTTACAAAATAAATCTTATTTACTGTTCCATTTTAATTAGACTGTACTCATAACATTCTAAATGTCATCGTGTTCATTTAAAAAGGCATGTAACCTGGTAACCAACTCTGTTTTCATGGGAAGAGTTTCTTTCACAGCTAAGCAATGGTAAGATATTTGAACCTTTCTGCATTTTTGCATGATGCACTATTTTATTGGTCACTTTTCACACAGCCTACAGATATTGATAAAAGCACTGTTCCCATTGGTAATGCAAATGTGGTGGCTTAAATAATGTGCTTTGATGTTCCAGAGAGGCCCTGCATGGAAGTAAATTCTGTAAATAATTCCTAAAAGTTATTATAGTGATAGGTGTTTCTGCAACAAAATGATAAATCTCTGCCTTCCAATCAAAACAACTCTAGTTTTTTAATTAAGGATCTTCTAAACACCAAGCACTAAAACTTTGCTGGTACTGATTGGGGAATTGTGAAGTTATAGGCAGTATAAACAATTTTTTAGTGTGAAGTGTAAAAATTGTGTCACTTTTGATTTTGTTTTCCTTCTTATATTTTAGGAGAAAAGATACATACATTCACTATATCCACACACATACTCGTGTGTGTGTGTGTATAGGGAGAGATAGAGGTATTTTTAGTTCTTGTAAGCAGCCTTTGAATAGTCTGTAGAAATACTGTTGGAACAGGTACAGCTATGGAATGATTGTTTTAGACACCAAGACTAATAATTTTAGCAATGTTTAGGAACACTAGAGAAAAGCCTTGAACTATGTGAGCACCAGGGACAGACAAGCATGAAAGATTAATGTAATTTTGCATATAATGATGCACATTCTTACACAAAAAATCCATCTGCAAGTGTCATGTCAGTCAGCAAAAATCTTTGATGGGTGGCTGCAGCTGGGCTGTCTCTTCTGGCAAAGCTGCCCTAGAAAATGCTAAATGTAGTTATGATGCTTCGTGCCATCTGTAGTATGCCAGTTTATCCTGTCTTCACTGGCATTTACAGTACTATATAGGGTATCAGCAAACACAGAGACATCGATGTGGAGTGACAGATTCATTTCCTCCAGAGGCTATGAACTCTGGTGTATACTTGTGCCACCTTCCTCTGTGTGTTATATGCTGTTGTCACTGGTATTTGGCTTCATTTCATACTTCTGTGTTTAACTCCTCTTATTTTTAATTTAGCAATTTGCATATCCTAACACAAAGGCAATTAAATTTGATTGATCCTGAAGTTATTCAGTCTTAACTGAGGATGTGCTTATTTTCCTGAAGTTTACCAAATGTGTCAGTGCTAAAAATTGCATTTTGATGCAACAAACATCTTCTTAAATTCTCTGAATTTAAATGCATGAAATAGCCACGTATCTGATAACTGCTGAAATTTAATGTTTGGCCTGTCCACTAGCATAACTGTAAAATATAACTTCTCATACTTTTAATGCTTTAATGACTTAAAAGAAACCTCTGAATTGAATTACTCTGTGTTCCTTATGTTGGATGGACAAAATAATTTAAAATCATCTAATCTGCTGACAATTGATGTTTTCCACAGTAACTGAATATGAAGGACATGCTCTCTCAGTACTGAAAGAATGTGAGCTGCAGGCATTTGATGGGTAAGTTGGTTAGTGACTATGAATATTAGTGAACCTCATCATGTTATTTTTTATTTGTATTCCAGTCAAAATTATGCTAGTGGGTATTTCATGAGTTACTCTGCTTCTCATATATATGAAACTTGACAAATTAATTTCTCATTAAATTCATTGGTATTTATTAATTACTGACAATAGAAATGTATCTTGGATTCATATATAATGGTAAATAAACATAAAGCTTTCTGAAATATGCTTCATGAGGGTTTCAGTCTCTGTATTTGTAAGAATACAAAGATAAAGAACAAAGAGCCTGGACTGTATCTTCTTTCACAAATATCTTCTACACTGAGTCATATTTAAATTGTTTCATCTTTGATCTTTGGGTAGACTGAGAACTTCCCCTGTAAGGCTTTCTCCAGTAGCCAGATCTAAGCTGGAAGAATATAACCCTTTTGAAAGACTATAGACATGTGTCTTTTATACTGTACCCTTTTTGCTATCTAAATTTTTTAGACACACAAAAACGTAGAAATGCCAAGACAATGGGGTTATTTTTTTATTTATTGCAGTATGTAAAAAATATAGCAACACACAATTTCTGGGCTTGCTTTTCTCTCTAGGAGAGTTATGGTTCCTTTCATGTTAACTGCTTATGAAGTAAACTGAAGCTTATGATTTGCAGTAGTAAACTGGAAGTTTATGTCTCAGTGCTCTCTGCAAGTAACACTCCTGTGTGTTAATTCTTTGTCAAAGCTGTTTGTATTTATAATTTCTATTTTCCTCAGTTACTATTTTATTTCGAAAGACCACATGTCTTACACACACTACCTTCCTTGCTATCCACTTTTTTTTAGGGATACTGAAAATTAGGCACTTTGTCAATTTGGCTTTTCCCCCCTGACTTATGGCTGAGCTTTGGTGACAAAAAGAGAGACTGCATTTTTGATGCTGCCATCTCAGCTGGGTTTTCCTATTTGTACAGAGACAGAAACAGACAATGCCCATGCATACATGTATTTCTTCCCTAGTCAGGAGTTTAAAGTATCAAGGATATTTAGAGTAGCCTGGGTTAGTCAGTCCTTAGTGAATAGTTGATTAAGAAAAGTTGCATCTGATGGTTAAATACATGTTTCTTTCTCTCAGAAGCCTTCTTAAAGGTTTAAGTAAAATTTGTTTGCTCAAGACTTTCTACTCCTTATGCATAGCAGGTTCTCACTGATTAGCATTGGAATCCCAGGTGCCTGGTGGTATCTCTATTTCTAGCCGAAAAGGCAACTCTTGATGATTAATGCTAAAATAATAGAAATCAAAATTAGCAGCATTTTCATGTTATTCCTTGGACTCTATCTACACAGCCCTCCAAAATCAGAGGAAAATATATCTGTTTTCAAAAGTTTTAAAAGCCAGAAGACTTTTGTCTTCTGGGTATACAGTTTTTCAGACTTCAAAGATTAACTGGTTTTACAACTGTGACAGAGAATTTTAAACCTGGGAATAAACAAAAAACGAGTCAAAAGAAAGGCGATGACTCCTGAGTGCAAGCAGGAATAAAATGTACTTCAAACTTTTATATTCTATTATTCAAACTGTATATTGTGTTTTTTTATTTAATGTGGCAGTGTTTAGCTAGATAAACAATCCTAAAAATTAGAGATTAAAAATCAGCTTGGAAATAATAATAGAAACTGAAGAAAAATGTTAAAGGAGATGAGGTAATTGAATTTAAACATTTGATAACACTAATAACATAATGAGTTTTTTCCTATGAAGATCTGACCAGTTTTACCTGGTTGAATGATTAGACATAGTTTCACAACTACATTCATACAGATATATGGAAAGGATATAATTTAGGTGAATTCCTCACAAAGGAACTACGACTCTTCTGTCATAAATGCTTGGAATGTATCATTAGTATTCTTATCATTAAAATATGTTTACTAGTTTGGAGAATCACTATAATATGTACTTAAATAAAGAAAAACAAGGAAAAAAAAAGGCTTGCTGTAACAGAGCTTTTACAGACAAATGCATTCCTCTCTATTGCCACAGCAGGTGGGAGTTTAATTACGTGCTCCAGAAGCAGTGATTAAGTACCTTTGTGCAAAGGATTGCTGGCACTAGGATTTTATATCTTGCTAAATCCCTCAACTGCCTGCATAGTGTATGAAAATAGCTGTTTTCAAGTGTTTTTTTATTTTATTGTAATATTTGTTGAGTTTTTATTATAAGGGCAATTAAAAGGCATTGGAATGTTTGTATGGGTCAGCACTGAAAGATGTAAAGAGCTTTTCCACTGAGGCACTTATAAACATGTGTTTGATTCTTCCATCTGATCAGTTTATGTGCATGATGTGTGGTAAGGTAAGAAAAACTTTGTAGGTTTTTAAGTATATTTACTCCTACTCAGACAGAAAGCAGAAGTAAGAATGCTTAAGGAGCATTCAGGAAACATTTACTGATCTGACAGTGAAGCCTAAGCTTGTTGTTAAAGAAAAAATATTTTTTAGCTTTTTGAAATATCATTGTATATACAGTGTGGGGTAGCTGCCTTCCACTTGTTTGTTCAGCTGTGAAAGAGTTTGTTTTGAAGTGTTTGGCATTTTTGTTTTGTAATAGGGTGGTTTGTGTTGGTGGAGATGGATCTGTCAGTGAAGTTGCTCATGGGCTACTACTCAGAGCCCAGATGGATGCTGGGAAAGACACGGACTATGTATCAAAGCCTGTCAGAGCACCAGTTCCTCTTGGAGTAATACCAGCAGGTGAGAATGGAAGGTACTGTTACATTTTGTTAGTCACCTGTTTTAAGTCCCTCTGGCATGTTTTACAGTTTTGGCTACTAAAAGCAGTTCTTGATGCTAAAGCTTCAGTTATGTAAGGAAGCTATTGAATAAATGTCCTAAATTAGCGATTTATATTGATTACAAATGACTTGATTTGAAATTGTAATGATAATTTGAAGTAATGGCACAGATGAGCTCTTTGCCTGAAGGAAGGGGCTGAGAAAGAATAAAACTAAAATAATTTTCAGCTGATCCATACAAGGTCAAGTTTCACCCTTATTTCCTGACAGAAATTATACCAAATGAAAGCTTAATTTTTTAGCTTTTCCTTTCTTGCATTTCCAGTTTTCTTAGCAGAATTCTCAGCTGGATTCATGCTTAGGGTCTATTTTAAAATGGTGTCCCAGAAATACATTGTGGGCATTATATTAAAAAAAAATATATATATTGTGCACAAAAACTTCTTTCTTTCTTATTTTGTTTTAGAGACATGAAAGTCTGTCTCTCTTAAAAAATCATCCTGCTCTTTTATTAACTTTTATCTTGTGGTGTGGTTTTGTTTATGCTGCGGGAGTTTGTGTGTCCCTCTCTTCAGTTTTTGTATGTGCCCTCCTTGGAGTGCAGTTTTGCCCAGCAGGAAGGTCTTTAGTGAGAGCTGCTGTGGTTTAACCCCAGCCAGCAGCCCAGCCCCACACACTGCCCCACCAGTGGGATCAGGGAGAGCATCAGAAGGGAAAAAGCTAGAAAACTCTTGGGTTGAGATAAGGACAGTTTCATTAAAGAAAGCAAGAGCTGCGTGCACCAGCAATGCAAAACAAGGAATTAATTCCTGCTTCCCATGGGCAGACAGGTGTTCAGCCATCTCCAGGTGAGCAGGACCCATCACACATAACAGTGTCTTGGGAAGACAAATCACTTCAAATGTCCCATTTTATGTCCCCTTCCCCCATTTTATATACTGAGCATGGTGTCATATGGTCTGGAATATCCCTTTGGTCAGCTGGGCTCACCTGCCCTGGCTGTGTCTCCTCCCACCCTCCTGTGCACCCCCAGCTTCCTCACCAGCATGGCTACATCTCTGTATCATCAACCTTGTGTTCTGCACAAATCCAAAACACAGCCCCATAGTAGCCACTGGCAAGAAACTACCTCAGCCAAAACCAGCACAAATTAGTACAGTCAGGGTTGATTCTGGACTAGTATATGAATCACTTATCTTGAAAAGAAGAGAGGTATTTTTGCATGAACACTACTCTCTGGTGTGGATGTTTGCTAAGGCTAGTTGACATAGTTTCTCAGATGTTTTTAACTGGTAAGGAAAAAAATTTCTACAGCCAGTAAAAACAGCAAATCACTGTTGTTAGTTTTCTCAAAAAAAAAAAAGAGCACCTCACTTTGAACTGAACAAGCAGATTTTTAAATGCTTTGATTTGGTTTGCACATATAAAAGGAGCATTAGTTGCTTGTTTAGGAGCAAGATTAGCTTTTTCTCGGGTTAAGAAACCCTTGGTAAATGAGACAGCAGTATCAAAGACATATAAGTTGGGTCATCAGTTACCAGCTCAGTTACTCTGAATATTTCGATGGTGCTGAGACAGAATCTCTCCAGCACCTGAGTCCATGTTGTGTGATGGTTGCTGTGCCTCACCATCGGTGCTTACTCTCCTCAGTTTAACACAAATATGTCATGAGCTGAAAGGACTTGTAAACTCAAAAGAATTCCGTACAGTTTCTTACACAGAATGACATAGATTTTGTAAAAGAGGATCAGAACAGTTTATAAAATGATACTGTGAGAAACTTCTAGTAGATTCTTAAAAATAATCTGTTGTTTATTTGATTTCCATATTCCTGATAGTCCATGAAGTAGTCACTTAGGAAACAGGTAAATATGATACTTGTCATGAGGATGCAACTCTGGTCAGTTAACTTTTTTTTTCCCCACCAGAAATCCATTGGACAAAATTATTAGGATTTTCCAGGCAAGTAGAAACAGCAGCTGAATTACAGGATAGTATTATGTGGGTGGCTTAAAATCTGGTTTTAGCCTCTATAATAAGTACTTAAGACAGCATTTTGAACTTTCAGTCATCCTGATGGGAAGGAGATGCTCTTGAAACAATTTACCTCCTGAAGAGAGAGGTCCAGAGGGGAGTATGTTTTTACTGAAATACTCTACTGAGCTGCCTTATTGTGGTCCAAATCAAATGGATGGGATGTGGGGAAGCCTGCAGTTGTACTGCTGGCCATTAGCAAGAGTGTTTGTTGCTATGGGAACTACTGCTAAGAAACTGTACCGAGGGGGAAGCAGAGAAAGGGGAGGGGGAACTGTGGAAGGACATTAAAAAAGCTCTCCAGTTGTTACAGAACAAGAGACAATCTATATCTGATACCTGTGAACCTTTTGGTCCAAAGTGGTTAATTTAAATAAATTCATGATTCCAAATTAATTCAGAAAATAAAATATTACTGAGGGACTGTTAATTTCTCTGATATTTCAGGCAAAGAACCAAAATGTTGGTGCAGTTTTCATCAGAATTTTAGCTATGCTTGACTAGGAAGTCATTACATCACATTTATCTGTTTGGATGGGGGAGACATTAACAGCCTTATGAATATTCATGTCATCTGGTTAATTAAGTTAATTGTATTGCAGAAGTGCTTGCACTTCCAAGGACAATTTTTTTCTCTACAATTTCTGTTTGGTACCTTCATCAGTCATGCTTTACATGACCTGCAGATACTCTGTTCTCACGCTTTTGCACTTTTGGTGGGAAGGAGGTGGTAGGAAGTTGTTTGTAATGTCAGGAAAATGGGTTGATATTTTGAACAGAATTACATTGTTGGAATAATAAAATCTTCTTTGTTTCTGTAAAAAACATGCTGATGATGGAGATACCGGAGTTGTACGGTTGAAACCTTTTCAGATTAAATTGAGTAGCTGAAGTGAAATTTAAAAATGTGACTTACTAATGTGTGAGCAGTGCAGGTCATGAGCACCAAAGGTTTTTAGTCTCTGAAGTGATATGATATTGTTCAGGGGAACGGTTGTTATTGCTGAATAATATCTCGAGCTTTCATAGGGGTAAAGAGATTACTTGGGAGTATGAATAATGACATTAAAACCATTATTGAATCACCATTTAAATCAGAAAGGCTTGTATCATTATTTTTGTGTAACTTTTATAGTTTCTGCTTGGTTTATGGGCTGCATGTTTTGGGTTTGCCTGTTTGTTTTGGTTTGGGTTATTTTGTCTGGCATCCTGCTTGTATAGGAATTAGTTAATGAGGCACATTGTTGGGACCAAACATGCTGATATGCATGTAGTGGGTGGAGTTTTTAGAGAATATGATGGTGCTTGCTCCCACAAAACTGTGCTTGGTCTAGTTCTTTGACTCTTAGAAGGGTGGATGTGGTACTTTTGTTTTTGAACAGGGAACTTGCTTTATCTTCCTCAGAGTACTGAAAGGGTGGGATTTTGCCTTGTTTACTTCTGCAAATGTTAATGAGCTCCAAAGATTTAAGAGAAGGATGCAATTACTTGTGCCTAGCCTGTTTAGTAGGAATGAGATTTAAGTCTCATTAAAGTCAGTTTGAAGATTGGTACCGACTTCAGCTGTGGTCGTTTGGTATCTTGTTGCCATTTGCATTGATAAATTACTCTCAAATCAGGATTGAAGCTTAAACTCATACGAAGCTTGATCTTCCAAACTGTATTCCGCCTTGTGCTCTTTTATTAGCTTGATCTTCAGTGAGAAGTGAATTTTTTTTTTTTTTTTTAGAATAACAACTGCTCTATTTTGACATACAGGAAGTGAGCATGATTTGCCTGACTTGTAATGACCTGCTGCTTGTATGTGTGATTTCCTTTGTTTTGGAGACATACCCGTAACAGTTGATAAGAGCTGTGTAATTCTGATTGAAGGAAATATTAGAGTAGTTTTGAGTTACATCTTCAGCTACCTTTATTGGCAAAGTTCGATCTGGAAGTTAAATCCATGAAGCCATTCAAACATGAAATAATATTGGGCATATACTTGTAGTATTCTGTGAAGAATTGCTTTTTAGGTCAAATGTAGGGGTTTTTGTAGTTTTTGGGTATCTGTTACCTTCAGGGATGTTCCTCACTTGCTTCATGTAGCAGGAACTCAGAGCTTCTCTCTCATATGTTATGGCAGCTTCCCATGAAGTTACAAATTAATTTCAGAGGCTAAGGTGCTCTAAGGACTTAACAGTTCTGTGAGATTCTCAGTTATACTAAATTATTTTATTTGGAGAAATTATTGAAAAAAATCAAAGATATATTCCTGAATAAGAATGGCATGATGCCTTTAGAACTTTGTAATTATGTTCAGCAGTCTTTGCAAATTCAGTATTTTTCTTTATACCCTGCATGTCATCAAAGCAGAATTTGGGGATAAACAAAATTTTTCAATCTGGTAGATGGTGCTTTAAAAGTGCTTATTTAAATATTGAGTGCTGTTGTTTGACATGCGATAGTCTTTCCCTTTCCTCTCTTCTTTCCCCTGCTTTAGAAAGACAAATAATTCTTCCATAAAACTTAGGGCAAATTTAACATCCAGAATTGTCTGTTGTTGCTGTAGCTTATTAAATAATTCAAACAAGAAAACAATTTAAAAATCTATGTGAGCTCATTTGTATATGGGAATGTTTGGTTCTAAACGGTTCTTTTGTAATTTTTGTTCTTTTAATTAAACTGTAATTGAATTATTTATCCCTTGATCAGTGATACAAAGAAGTCAATATTCTGCCTGTTTGGTGGCAGGCCTTTATTTTTCTAGGTGAATTCTTTTGCTCTGCTGCTTGGCTAAGTAATGCCAGAAATAAGAAAAATCAATCTGATTTTTTTTTTTTTTAAACAATACCCATTTAGGAAAGACACAACTGCTCCTTCTTCATGATTTTAAAAATAAATTTATATTAAAAAGTCAGCTGATGCACAGTATTTTATGTCCTAGGCATTAGAGGAGAAGGGCAAAATTTACATATGTAGCTCCATGTTTCTTGCACAGGTAAAGTGCCTTGACATATCAATCACCACCAGTCATGGGCCTTCAGAGCTCTGCTGCTTTCTTTTACAAACTGACAGCTGGTTTTCCACTCCTGATTTACTCACTCCCTTGTTTCAAAATCTGCTCTTCTCTTCTCTCTTGTGGCTGGTAGATCTATTGGCTGCCAGTGTCCAGGCAGTGACAAATAAAAGTGAGATGATCAGTTTTGGTGCACTGAATGCAGATCACCTGTTTGTCACATGTCACATTCTGCCTTCCCTGTTTTTCAGTCATTCAGTCATCTTATTTGTAAAGCTGATGTGCAGTAATTAACTTCATTCACTATTCTTTCTAAGAATCTAAAATGTAGCCTGCAAGAAGCACAGCAGCTATCTTTGACTAGATTAAATACCATTTGGCCTGGAAAATGTACAGTTTTACCACTGTCTGGGTATTATTTTACCAACCTAAAAATATTCCCCAAATACATCTTACTAGATAATCTGCCTTCGAGCTCCTTAGTACAGCACTTGGGTATATAAGAGGTGATTATTAAGGAGATGGTTTGAAAAACATCAAACAGACAATATTTTGAAAAGCTTGTTTCTCCCCCCTCTTTTTTTTTTTTTTTTTAATGGCACTTATGAATGAATTTGCAGAGGAGATTTTATAGACCGCAGGAGTTTTAAAGGTTGTAATTTAATACTGTGCAGCATTTCTGCTGTTAACAGGACAATTTATGGGGAGGCTTTATTTTTTTGAAAATGCAGTAATTAAAAATGCCGCATATATTTGTTCCTGTTCTGTATCTCTCATGTTTTTTACAGGAGGTTTTGTTCTCTTTCACAGGTACTACAAATATTTTGGCCCATACACTCTATGGTATTAAACACGCAGTGACAGCGACATTGCACATTGTGATGGGTAAATATTTTTACATTCATTACCAGATTTTAAATAATAAAGCAGTATGTAGAAGTTTGTCATAAGCAGATGCTCAGTAAAGACATAGCATTTTGCTGTGTCACTATAACCTATATTGGAAGGCTTTTAAACAAAAATGATTCTATCCTGGTTTTATCTATGGGTGCATTTCTTTTAAATGCTAACAGTTTCTATAAGAGAGCTTTATTTGCAGAAAACTGGTACGATTTGCCACTGGGTCTGCACAATAAATGGGTTTTGAATGTGAAAATGTAATTATGCTAAAAGGGAGAAGTAGGTTTCTAGTGCAAACCTTATTTTTGGGTCTTAGGAAATAGCAAATACTTTGTCAGGCAATGTTAATTTTGTTCTCAAAGCAATCTTTCTTTAGACCTGTTTTTAAAATTAAAACAAAAGAGGAAAAATAGTAAGGTTCCTCTTGAGTATCTCTTTTCTTGGTCTTGCAGTCTGCAGTGCAAGAGCCTTTGCTCTGTTTCTGAAGTCATAATAGAAAACCCGCTACAGGCAAAATCTAAACCTGTCTTTCTTTAAAAATCAGAGACACTAAATCCAATGGAAGATGCCCAGGGTCTATGAAAGAAAAAGAGTGTATATATCCTAACTTGAACAGAATTACATGTTTATATTTTATGACTGTAAATATGAATGTATTTAAAACCTATATTTAAGAGTTCCCATATATCCTCCAGTACAATGTGCAGTCATTACATTTATTTGGTGAAATGGTTGCAGAAATTTATGCAAATACTAGCGATTTTGCATTTTCCTTGATTCTCGTTGTTGAAAATGTGCATAGAATTAAGAGTCAGACCCTTTGCAGCCTTACAAAATAGCCAAATGTTTTACCATAACTTTAACATTCTCAAGCATCTGAAATTACTTTGATAGAATCTTAATTCTATCTAGATTGATTCTGATTTTGATTAGTAAAACTTAATTTCTTAGAGAGAGAAGAGTCTGGAGGGTTTTTTTCCCCCAGCTGAAGTAGATGAAAAAGAAATGTTAAGTTACGTGTCATTTGAAGTGTAGATGTTATTTTTTTTCCTGTTCTCTGTCTATGATATTTCAGGACACGTTCAAGCAGTAGATGTGTGTACTTTCAGCACTCCAAGCAGGCTGCTGCGCTTTGGGTTCTCAGCCATGTTTGGGTTTGGGGCGAGGACTTTGGCTTTGGCCGAGAAGCACCGCTGGATGCCCTCCAGTCAGAGGAAGGATTTTGCTTTCATCAAAACACTGGCAGATCTCAAGTATGCCAAGAGATGTTATGTTTTTCTACTATTTCTCCTTTTCTTGAGGAAAGTGAAATAATAAATCTGATAAAGAAAGAAAGAGCCAGTAGTTTATCTTAATTGCAGACAGATTTAACTCAGATGTGATGTATATCCCTTACAAGTTGAAGAGTAGATAAATTCTGTACATTCAGAATCTCCTAAAAATAATCTCAACTTCAATAAAAGTCTGTCTAACAGAATATTGGTTTACATCATAGTAAATGTCATTACTTTTCTAGGGCAGAGGAATGTGAATTATCATTTCTCCCTCTACAAACTGTGCAGGAAGACTCTCATGAGAAGGATGGGTAAGTAAAACTGACTCAAGAAATTCCAAAGCTACAAAAATATGTCTTTGAAGAATAAAATTTTACAGATTCTTTACTTTGTTCAAATTCAATCAACAGGAGATATAATCTTAAAAAAACCATTTTTTTTGACAAGTGCAAATTTGTACATACTGTGTTTCCTGTAGACTGTTATAGAGGATTTTGTTACAAGGCAGTCTTCCACTCACTATTATTGATTTGTTCAGTTCTACTAATATGCTACTTTTTAAAAAAGTATATGTTGCTTAAATGTGTAAATGACTTTAATGTTTTTTTACCAATGTGTTTCCACCCTTTTAGAAAGAAGAAAGAGAGAACAAAAAAAGGTGAGTTTCTTCTTTTAGAATTTTTTAAAAGTGAGCCATGGGTGATTAACTGGAGTAATATAGAATTACTCTGTTATATTTAGGTAGCAAGGATCAATGGCAGAAAATTCAGGGTCACTTCCTGAATGTGAGCATTATGGCAATCCCTTGTCTGTGTTCAATGGCACCAAGAGGCTTGGCACCTAATACGAGGTCAGTGTGGGTTTAGAGAATTAGTCATGTCTATAAATTCTGACATCTTACCTTAAGACCTTGGCTTTTCCGAGAATATGAGCCTATGTTTAGGTAGTCTAGTCCCTCTGGACTGGGGGTGGGACCATAGACTGCAGCAGACTTGATAATCCCAGGAATTGTAATCAGTTTTTGGATCAGGCAAATAAGGTCAAGCAGTCTAACTAGAATTATGAGTGGATAATTGCTGTGATTAAATTAGTTGGCAAGTCTGACTTAAGTAGTAGTCATCGAGCAGTCATCTGTCATAGGATTTGGCTTTATGGGGAAACTTCGCCCTTAGATTTAATTTTATTTTTTCAAATATTAAAGTGGCCCTTGTCTTCTGCTCTATGGCCAGCAAAAATGAAACGAGTCTTTCTCACTTTATTAAGGACTAAAATTCACACTTGTCTTTTTCTTACTACTGTTTTTTAATTTGGTTTCCCTCAGAACTTGGGAAATGAAGCTTTACATGCAGGGTTTAGGGAAAAAAAGGAGTATGTAACCTGGTTGTTGACACTGATTCATTTTCCCTTTAGCTCCTTGTTGAGAGCCTGCTTTGTGGTGACCAAAGCAGTTCTTAGGTGGTAAATATTTGCACCTGTTGTATCCAGTTGGCAATTGAGCAGAATAGCAAGTACAAACTTTGTAGTTGTATGCAAAGTACAAAATGCTCCCTCAAAAAAGAATGCAGAGACTCGTGTGTGTGCATGAATGTGGACCAAAAATCCCCCAGCACTCAGGGAAGTTTATGGAATGAGTCTCTTTTGTTTCATTAGATTGTCACTAGGTGAAATTAGAGAAGAATTCATTAGGTGTTTTTCTTCAAAACTACTGGTTTACCTAGTAGAATTTGACTTCTTGGAAACAATATAGAACCAAATTATTTATGATTAAACCTTAATGAGATATTTTCTTTGCTACCAGGGTCCCGCTAATCTCATAGTCCTCAAGATAGTGCTCTGATGCTGTCCTATTTTAGGAACTTTGTTCTGCATTTAGTGTTTTTATATTCCAGTCACTTGGAAAATTCTGATGAGAATTTTAGCTTTGCTTTCTCTTTCTAGCCGTTCTTCCCCATTTCTCAGGGACAGGGAATTTTGTGATAGCAACACACAATTATGGCAGGTTTGAACGAGCCAGTTTCTCTCCCAGTGTAGCTGCTCAGCTATCTCCCTTTTGGTTTTTTTTGTGTTTAAGAATACCCTTTGTTCTTCCATCTCTTTTAAAAAACAATCTTAGTGTGGTGAGCTAGTAGAGTAGGAAGGGTAGACTCAAACAGGAGCTTCCTTTGAACAGCATATTGACTCTAAGTCTTTTCAATATGGGAATGTGGCACTGATCGTTAGAGACTCGAGACCCACTATGGAAGGAACTCATCTGGGTTTCTTCTTGCTTTTCTTTTTCCCCAAGAGGTTTCTGCCATGTGAAGACATTTGAAGTGGGATGCAAGCTTTGGCTGCTGCCTGTGGCTCCAGTTACACTGGTGTAAATTTGCAGAAACATGTCCAGATACATCTAACTGTCTGTGCTGTGTGAGCCCTGTGGGATGTGCTTTTCACAGCATAGGTGTTGTGCTTCACTGCAGATGGGGCTTTCTAGAGAGTTAATGAGAATTCTCTTTTCTAAAGATGAAAGGCCCTAGTGCTGAATGCCCAGTAGTCTGCTGTGCTCTTTTACTGAAACAAATATGATAAGGAGGCAACTTTTTAAATGTCATCATCACTCTTCCCTGAATCAGCAAAGTACTGCTGTGCCAGGTGACTCGCTTGATGTTTATGTAACAATTACCCTCCCAGATAGTGCTGTTACCATAGTCTGACAACATTTCTGATGCAGCTGTTCAGTAGCTATCTGAACTATCACTTTCAGTGCTGGTAGCCTGGAAGTAATTTTTTAAAACACTCTTAAGAAATTATCCAAACATAGATGCTGTATAAATAAATAAATAAATTAATAAATATGTATGCATATATCTGCAGAAGATTGGAAATACACCATCTCTCTCCAGAAGGCAGTGTCAGCAGGGATTGCAGTGTTCATCAGATACTCTTGTTGAACACTGCTCTGTCTCTATAACTCAAATGGGACTTAGGCATGTTGTTAGTTTCTGTTTCCAGGTACATTCTATTAAAGAATGGGTAAGCTGACACTGGCTCACTGAGAACTGACCCCAGTTCTCAAAGATGCTAAAATACCCATGGTAACTGGATGCTGAGAGCCACTGAGCCTCTGCACTGTGGGAGCTCTTCTTGTTTAATCTCTAGTACAGGACTGTTTCATCTTGTACAAAATTCTTAGTCCTTAACTTTCATTTTGTGAATTGTAGAAATAGAACTGTACCAAGAACTGCTAAGAGAGTGTGAGTTGGAGATGGCAGCCTTTGTTAGTACAGCATGGGTGTTGGTGCAAGGGGTGGGAGAACCCTCCTGCACTGTGCTGTGTTGGGGGCTTCCATGCACCAGGGCACTGTTCTCTGGGCACAGCTCTGCCTCACAGCACTTAGGGTAACTGTTACATGTTGCTGGAGAGAAAAGTAAAAAGAACCGTTTGTGATCCCCAATGTTTAGAAACCATCTGAAAAGTAGAAAAGCAAGCTTTTCTTAGATTATATGCATTGTGTTTGAGAAATTATGGCTATTGATAAAGGACTACAAGTTATTATTACAATATATGTCATAAATATATCAATTCTGAATAACTTCAGTGCGTAATTCATATCAACCTATGGGTCAGGGGTCAGAAAAAAGATTTGAAAAAAACATTGAGACTATCTTATTTACTCTTACAGGCTTTTTAAACTCTTTTCTTTCTAATCTAGGCTATTGAAGAGCCTGCTATACTTCCAAATTAATGAATTATCATCTTGGTCTGCTTTTCAGGTTGAATAATGGAAGCATGGCTCTTATTGTTGTGCAAAATACTTCTCGAACAGAGTTTATAAGGCATCTGAAAAGATACACCAGTGTAAAAAATCAGGTACCATTAATTTCTTTCTGGTGATTATAAAAAGAACAGTTAATCGTGAAAGTAGACAAGCTGCAAGAGTTAATGTTAGCATCCTTGTAAGGAGACTTAGCTTCCTGTCAGAATACATTAGCCCCTTTTTATCTGATTTTTTTTTTTCTTTTTTTAAATCACTAGACTAATACAGATTAGCCTATTTCAGTCCATCTGTTGTGGTTTAAATTGTGTTTGTACTGTACCATAGCTTTATGGGTGTAAAGCCCTTTCACCACAATAAGGAAATGCATGCTGTGTCTGAATGTTGTGTAGTACAGAAGTGAAGAATGCAGAACTGCAGGGGCATCACACAACTCTGTCAGAAATTGGTAAAGTTGGTCATTTCACAGGGTCACGCCATGCTGTGCTGGCAGCAGTGGGTTGTGAGCATTGATTTTTAGCAGGTATGCATCCTGTTTAGTTATGATGTTTGCAGAACTGTATTTCAAAAGTGTAGTCATAATTCTGTCTCAGAAGAGAAAAGTGAAGAATTCAAACACAGATCTTACTGTTGCCTAAAGCCCCACTGCATGGCCCAAACACACTGGTACTCATTCAAATGTTCTAGGATTATGTGAAATAACTTTAACAGGAAGGTTTGGGTTTGAATCCATCTACAGCCAGAGAATTTGGGGAAGAGATGGGTGACAATTCCAGGTGACAGCATTAATGGCTGACTTGAGGAAATAGCTTAAGCTTTACATTATGCATTTGGAGGAAGGCCTTGCTTTTCTCTCTGCCTTTGTAGTTATAAATCAGACAAGGAGATGTGGGTCCTCCTTTAAGCTTGACAACCATTTACTAGAATTCTAAGCTAGCCTGGTGTAGGACAAGATCACTGGTAATGATGAACAGAGCACAGGAAACAATCTGCTTGGACTTTCACATATTCTGAAAGTATTTGATATGCACAAAGTAAACCCCCTTACCTACTGGTTGATCAAGTCCAATATGGGAAAACAAATGGAACACTACCATTTTTTCCTGAGGCACTATTTAGGATAAAAACATCATGTTAATCTATAAATGCTAGCTGGAATATATAATAGCTCATGTGGTCAAAGCTTGAGTTAAATGTTCCCACTTAGGACAAAAAAAAAGCCAAAACAGCCAGCTTTTTGATTTCAAGTAACCCATTTTGTTTTAAGCTACCACCCATATCTTTCATCTTCATTTGTTGTCTGTGTTTGGTTTAGTTCAATTTTCCCTTTGTTGAGACCTACACAGTTCGAGAAGTAAAAGTACAACCAAGGCTGAAAAGTGGACCTGATGCCAAGGAAAATGTGTGTCTGAATGCAGAAGGAAACTACCCTTGGAATATAGATGGGGACTTAATGAAGGAAGCATCAGAAGTTCATGTCCGGTAAGGTTAAATATCCCATTCAGGGACCATATACCCATAAGAGATTAGTGCGGCAGTCTTAGAAGTTTTGCATTTCTAGAGCACAGATGGTACCAGAGTTAGGTGCTTTAAATGCTCCTACAATAGAACCACTGTCCGCTGCAGGGTCTGGCCCTTCAACATCGTCTGGGCCTCTGCCTTGGTTGCCTTGTGTTCATCTTTGGAAAGGTTTGTTATAACTCACATGGCCTTTCCATCCTGGTGCTTCATCAGCTTCCACTGCAGTTCTCTTCCTTCTTGTTATTTTACTACTTCTTGTTTCTTCTTTCCTGTTACTTTACCCTTCCATTTCTTGGAGAACAGATGTATATAATGTGTCTCCCATGAGATGTGTCTCCCATGAGGAACTCCTTTTGGGACAAGGATTCCTACTTGGAAAGCAGCACATGTCAGGTTAAGAAAAACATGTAGTTCTTCAGTTCTGGAAAACTTAATGCTGCTTGAGAATAGTCTGCATATCCAGCATCTAAGAATGAGACCACAAATACATAGGGAATGGGAAGATTATCAGTGGAATTAAATGGGCAGTGGCTCATTTTTCTGCAGTGCACACAGGATTAGTTGAAGGCACATAGCTCAGTCTGGTATGTAAAATAAAAGGCAGATCATGTTGTAGGATATATAATATATTCTTCTAAAGATGATCCTATTTTTGTTATCCTGAATTGTTAATTCACCCTGATTTATTATTTTCATATAAAAGCTCATACATATTCATTCTCCTTGCCAACCTCAAAAAGCAGCACACCCTTTGCAAGAGTTGATGACATTTGATTGATGAAGTTTGACTTCCTTGCTTCACAGAGTGCATCCTCAACTTATTGATCTCTATGGAGTGAACACCGATGACCTGGAGAGTTCCCAAGTGACGTGCAACTGCATATAGAAGGGAGACACTGGAAATTCTGTAATAAAGAATCCTGTTCTCACCCCTATGTACAGCTCTCCAAGGTCTGGACTTGTACTGATGCAAGAAGCTTGTACTTGTACTGTAGCAGAAGCTTAATAAGGATGTTTGTTCTATTTCTGGGTTTAAATTCTTATTAAATTATACATCTTTATCAGGTTCTGTTTAACTGTATCAAAGCTTTTAGGCTTTAACAAGAAAAAAATTGATTATATCGGTCTCTTAGAAATCTGGGGTTTGAGAAGGGTCCATCAGAATAGAAGAAATTTTTTTTTCATTAGTCTAGATTTTTTAGAATGAGATACTTCTAAGTCTGCTGCTGCTATCCGTGTTGTCAGGTAACTCAGTTCAACACAGGGAAGAACCACTGCTCTACTCACCAGCTTTAGCTGAAGAGTGGTGGCAAAAGAAAAATATATGCATTTATTTTTTTAATCAAGTACTTCTATTTCTAGTTATAGTTTTTAATGTTGCCTTAATCTATTCACTCTCAAAATGTTTCTAGTCAAATAATATAAAAGAATATGCTGTTGTTAAAATGTATTTTAAAAACCACTAGTATTTTCTCTGTCTTAGAACTGAAATGTTATTCAGCAGAGTTGCTGTTGCTGAGACTAAAGTTGTGATAAATAAATTAGAGTTAACTTAAATTTTTATTATTTCCTTGCGTGTTTGTTTCTTTTGGTAATTTACTTAATATTGAAGAAAATTATTTCAGAGGACAGCAAATTAAGACTATTTTTTTCTGGGAACTGGCTTCCTTTGAGATGAAAAGTAGCAGACCATGTTTTTCTGTCTGCAGGAGCATGGGTAAGGAATGTTTTCCTGGTCACTCCTCTAGGAGTCATTCAGAAGGCAGTGCACAAATCGTGTGCAAGCTGCATTGTGTCAGGGCAAGAATGAGTTGTTTTAGGTGCTTTCTTCAGGAAGCAATCGAGGGTAGTGTGAAATCCAGTCCTTGTACGATGTTGCTAAGTCACGGGCTTAAGCCTTTACAAGAGATCTATAGCTACTATGGTTTGAAAGAGTTGTAAAAATTCTGATCTGTGATAAATACACAGGTCTCTGAGTACTGCACATGAAGATTTGGCTCCTAAACCCAAGCTGTTACCTGGCATCCAAGTCACAGGGAGCAGTCTCCACTTAACATTTATACTCTATCCCATCAAATATTTTTAATATGCTAAGGCTCAAATTCAAACTAAGCTTAAGTTGTCTAAAAAGGCATTCCAGCAACATTTAATAGATTTAACTGTTATTTATTAAATGAAATTTAAAAAAAGGATTGATCTTGCAGAACAAACAGCATTCATGTGTTTAACTTCATTTGGTTTTTTTTAAAAAACTGAAATTGAGTAACACTTTATAATCTTGCCACCATCAGGTCATTGTACATTCATTTTTTGTCAACCTGGGTTATAAAAGCTTCATAATTTTGCTTCATATCCTAAGAAAAGACAGCCAACATTTATGTGTTAACAATCAAATCTGAATAGAAAGTGTACAATTTCCAAGGCATCATTAGCACATGTACTGATTGAAATAGTTTACATAAAAGATAAATAAAATGTTTTTGTTTCACTTCCTTGCATTGTTTGTACTCAAAAGGACACGAATGCTTCTTCCAGTATTTGAGGTATATTTTTCACAGTATGCTGTAATGTCAAACAAGTTAATTGTTCAAAGGTTTTTTTGGTTAAAGTGCAAAAATTCACTAAAGCCACGTGGAAGGTAAGCATTTTCTTAGTACAGTTTTCACATAGATTTGCAAGAAAGTATTTCATTCTTGACATACTTTATTTTGACTTTTTAAAAAAATATATGCACATTCATTTGTCCTTGCACTGTAGATATTAAGAGGAAAACATACTTTGGAGTGATCCACATCTTTGGCATCAAATGAAGTGAAAGGAAGTTACAAAATGGTCCCAAATACCTTTGGAATCTGTGGCAACATGGCTTTTATGGCACCAGGCACTCTGGTAGCAGAAGTGCTTGTTGAAGGCACTCGCTGTGGGTTTGAGTTTCAGGCTAATTCCCATGGGATGGTGCAGCTTCAAAGCATTTCTACAGATGACATTCCTTTCTCAGTGCAGTTCAGAAAGACATCCAAGGCGCGGCCTCACGGCCATACTCTGTCCTTCTGGTGCAATAAATTCAGTTACTGAAGAAGTTGAACATCCTCCAGCTGTTCTGGGGAGTGAAGGAAGGGTTTTTCCCCTTGTGGCTTGTGCTGTTTCACTAAAGCTAGGTGGCAGTGCAAACTTAGCTAGCTGAAGAAACTTCCTGGAGTAGCAGAGCAGTGGTTTTGATCCATGTTTCCGTTCAGTCATTCGCCTTTCTGCCGAGCGGCTGCTGAGGGTGCCTGTTTGGTATTTATCTGACACCTTCCCAGGAACCTAAGCTGGCTCTCCAAGTGACTTCCTTATTAAGTACTTCCTGAAGTACTTAATCTGAAGATAAAATTTGGCCCATTACAGTTGGGAGTTTTTGGGTATGTGTGTCTCTCTGTTTTGTCAGCTGCAGCCTGTCTTTATTCAGGTTCTGGAAGAATGCCAGCACTAAATCCTATTATAAGTACTATAGAAAAATCTTCAAATAAATAAAAATAAATACTTGCTTTAAAAAAACCCCACATAGAAAGAATTCATTGGAGAAGTCCAAAACCTTATGGCAGCACTGTCTGAGGAGAGGATGAAACAAGTAAATCTATCATGCTTGCAAGTACCAAGTTATGATGGCTACAAATTATGATCTCAAATACTTTAATTTTTCTACAGCTGCATCTCCAGGCTACCCCACACAATTCCCTGCTCTGAATTCACCTTTGGCCTTCGTGGTTCTGGCTTGCCTGGGTGCCTAAGTACCTTCAGTGATGTGGCTGTGCCTGTGAAGCCAAAGCTTACGAGGTTAACCTGCAGAAGCCAAGAGCTTCTGAGAGCCAGTTTCTATGTCCGTGTGTTTTATTACAGTCCTGTGGATTTCACCTCATTTACCCTTGGTAAAATGCCAGACCAAGAGGAGAGAGGATTTCTTCCTGAATGCCTGATCAAAATACTATTGAAACTTCAAAAATAATAACTCATGCTAATGTGTTTGAATTCTTACTTTTGAGGATTGGCCAAAAATTATTTCTACAAATATTCCTTTTGGTAGGTAATTCTTCTTCTCTTTATGTTTAGTGTTCTTCTGTCTGTTTGAAACCACATATATATATATATGGATATACAAATATATATCTATGGCATTTCAAATATTACTGGGAGACTTCAGAACAAACTGGTTTACCATTTCCATATTAGAACAGTACTGTAAGTTGTATCCTCCACACAGTTCAAGGAAATAAAGCATATTTTATAAGACAGCTAGTAAGCTCAGGGCCTAGGTTTCTTGTTGCTGATGTTTCTCTTGTGAATTGATCTGAATTTTAATTTCTTCATTTTAAAATCAAACAGTTATTTGCCATCTTAGTCATTTTTGTTCCCACTTTTAAAACTCCAGCTGTCTCTTCTGTTCATGTCTTGAGGGACCGGTTTGTATTTCCTTTTGAAAAAGCCAATCTGAAACACATAATTTGGAATCTGTTGTCAGCAAATCTTTGTCATCAAATCTAAACCATAAAAGATTAATTAAAATAAAAATGCATATGTATGGTATTTATAAAGTATGGTATTTGCTAGAGCTTTGTCATACCAAGTAATCAAGTTTTACTCATCAATCAAAAAAGTAGGTTTGCTTTTTCTTCTTTTACTTTTTGAGAGGCTAATGCTCTCCAGTATAGAATAAAGACTTGGACTTGTGAACTTTAACAGTCCACAGAACACAGTATTTTAAAAAATATGGTAATAAAATGTTCCTGTTAAATTTGTTTCATTTCTACATGTCCATGTAAAAATAATGGATGGAGAAAGTCTCAATGTAGGTTAAGAAGTTAACAGTCTCTTAATGACTTGTCAGAGGATCTGCATCCTTATTAGTTTTCTCTTTGGCACTGAATTTTTTTAGTATTTATGCTGCAGTTTGAGATCTTAAACATTTTATACTGGTATGAAACTGATAGAACATGCAGAAGATGAAATGAAATGGAAAAAATGGAGACATACTTTTGAAGAACCCCAAGTTACAGGAGGAATTATCTTTCTTTAGAAAGGACAGGTCATAATAAAATGTTATTCATTCTTTAACCCAGATCCAAAAATCCTTCAAGAGTATGAATTCCTGACTTGAAGCAACTAAGGAATACTAAAAACCTACCTTCCATAATATAAATGAAAGAATCAGCAACAGGGTAACACCAACTATTAAGCCTAGGGAAATAATTAGCACAGTAACATGGTATTTTGGCTTTTGGTGGTGCACTCCTTCCAAATAGACCTGAAAAACAGAAAATAAGCTTAGTGCTAACTGTTGGGGATTTTTCACTAATAGATACTAAAAAAACCCAGGAAAATTAATTAATTTTTCAAGTAATTAATACTATATTCATTGCTGATGTATAGGTATGTATAGAATTCTCCAATATTAATTGCTATTAGTTTTTCTACTTTAACCTGTTCATCACGAATTCATAAGGGAATTCTTACATATGCAACTTGCTTGTCCTTGTGTAGTTCAATAACTTTTTCATTTTTTTCTGGCCAGGCTGTTGCTCTTACTTCAAACTTCAATACTGATGCATCATCCTGATTAAAAAAAAAATTAAATAATTCTTTCTTTTAAAAAATAACCTTAAAACATTGATTCCTGCCCAGCAAAAATGATAACACAGCTGCTCACACAAGCACACAATGGTGCCTTTTTCTGAGCACGAAACAAATTAGTACCAGAAGCTGGAATGAAGCCATGTTGGATTTTACTTAAGTCACATCCATGCTGCTTTTCTTAGAAAAATACAATTGACTTGAAATTAAATCCCATCCTACATAACCCAGCAAGAATAGGCAATATACCATAAACATAAATATACCATAAATATAAAGTGACAAACTAAAATACATATTTTTGTTTTTCACACAGCACCTTGAGCCTTAACATTGGCAACATAAAACAGGTTAAAATCTACAAGATTTAGATTTAATCATGTTTAAATCATGTTTCACTGTTAGAAAACAAATACTAATACCTAGAATATTTATATGCAGGGAATACAGCAAATTTCCCTTGAAATATTCCCCTCAAGTATGAAAAGTTCATGTGTTACCATTTGTAAAAGTAAAGGAGTAGCCTCCAGATGCAAGTGAACAGTTGCTTCTTTTCCACTCTCCATGTTTCCCAGCTTGCAATGTACTTTTAAGCAAAGGCTGTCATTTTTCATGCAGTACTGTACAAGGGAGAGAAAGATTAAAACTTAACTTGATCAACTGTGTTTAGGGTTAAAGACAATAGGAATTGACCAAAACAAAAGGATTCATGCTTATTCTTGAAAACTCAGGGCATAACTTGAGGTTGTCATCCATCACTGTCAGTCCAGAGGTGTTAAAGTTACAGTAACAAGAGACCAACCTAATTGTTATACAAAACATGTAATTTTTATTAAAAATTCATTTTAAG